GCGTAGCGCAGCAGCGCACAATTTTGCACAGCAGTAAACAATTTAATAGCGTATCATTTGATGTCACAAATGTATGTGTACCTTGTAAGGTCACTGACCTACGTAAGGTCAGTCAGGCCATGCATTGGGCAGGCAATCTCTAGGAAATCGTTCAATCTGATGCAACAACGGAGTGTTAGACGGGGTCACATCTCTGAGGTATTCTCTTAAGCAACCCAACAATTGAATTAACAAAATCCGTTGACCTTGGGTCAGGCGTAAAGGTCAGACCAAGGTAAAAAATAACCTGTTTTTCACTCTAGAGCTTGCCGTATTGGGTAACTTCTTATTTTGAATATATTGACAACAGAAACCGCATTATGCATCATCCACGAACGGAGTAGAATAGGTCACCGTCCTAAAACAACACAAGCGAACATTTCGTTTTAAGGAAGATGCTGTCTAGCGTTGTTCTTGACGCTTATTCGAATGCAAAAATCAAAGCACTCTTGTGTGATTTTGGTCGCCATGACCTTTGAAAGGTCAAACGAGATCACCGATCTTAAATGAGTACCAGTGACCTTTTGCTTAGGACGGGTATTTAAGTTCGCAGTGGTGGCATGAGCATGTGTAAACACCAATCAGGACTTTGACTTTGTTTGACTCCATTTGACCCAAAGATCATGACTTAGAAACCTCCAATTTCGACGTAAGCAAGTTCACGTATAGGCCGGCACACCCTGTGAATTTAGTGTCCCCAGCTCTCTCAGTTTCTGAGATCTCGGAGGGGTCAAATTGACCCCCCACCCGCGCAAAGGGCATCCACCCGGCCACTCGGGCGCGTGTTAATGCGCACAAGGTTCTTTGAGGGCAAAAAGTGCCACAAACGTTCAGCGCGTAGCGTCTAAGTCAAACGTCAAACGTCAAAAGCGTCAAAAGCTTGCACTTTAACGTCAAAAGCTTGCACTTTGTTATTCCATATGTGTCTGCCATGTCAAAATCTGTGAAGTTTTCTTCAAGGCTGCTTTTGTGGCAGTCTTTTACATGCTAAATCTACATGTGTTTAGTCTTGCTGTAGAATGGCGTAGATAATTTCACTTTCCCGTTTCGCTTATGTAACAGCTGAAATCCAACGCAACAGCGTTTGTAATTGGAAGATAGCGTGTCTTGTTACAAAGAGTGCAGCCGGCTTCAGCCACTTCCTTTACCCTCGCATGAGGCTCGAACGAAATAGCCACCGCCTTTGTGCTTCTGTCGCGCACGTCACTGTATTCGGCGACGAAAGAGAAAATGTGGCAGTAGTTGTCCTTTGTTTTTTTTTCAGTTAACAGCCCGAGCCTCCGCGCGGTGCGACAGAAACGTAATCGCTAGCTCCTCAGGATTCGTGCTGTCAACCGGCTGGTTGCGGCCGAGTGGCCGGGACTAGCACTGCTGCGTTGGTCGCGCTGGTCCGGTTTGAGACTTCGGTACCGGCATCGAGGTGATGCCGGCCCGGACCGACAGACAGGGAAGCGTGTCCAGGGAGGGACGGATCACGAAGAGCAAAGAACACTGCGCTGTCAGGTTGCACAAAAAGTAAATTAACGATAGTCTAGTTTATTTGTTTGAGGCGTTTCGGCCTGTTTAGACCATTTCACGCCTGGATGATGTTATTTCAAATTGGTGTAATTATGTATGTGAAGAAAAGGGTACGTTTATTGACGTTCACAAAGTTTGAAGCAGGCCGGTAAGTCTGGGAAAGTTAAAGACAATGTTAGGGAGTTGAGGATGGTCATCGCCAAGGACGCTTTTTAAAAAAAAAATCGATATTTTGCTCACGGTAAAAGGCCTGCATATCTTTGTGTTGCTGTTGATATTTTGTGCACTCATTAGCGATATGCTTAATCGGAAGTGGATGATCGCACGGCTGACAGTGAGGACGAGGTTGACTTAAGTATATGTAACTATGTGTGAGTGTAGTGTGTCCGATTCGTAGACGGGCCAGCACCTTCTTCTCCAGACGGTCTTTACAATGTTTTGATGGCCAAGGTGTAATGTCTGGTTTGATATCATAAAGTTCTGTTCTGGCAGTATCGGTCCATTATCGTTGCCAAAAATATTTTGTCAATGTGCGAATGGAATGTTTTGTAAATGCATGATCAACGGGAATCTCCATCATGTGTGGGGCTGTCAAGGCTTCCTTGGCTAGTTGGTCAGCCCGTTCATTGCCCATGATGCCTGTATGTCCTGAAATCCATAGAAATTTGATATTCATGTCCTGTGTGTGTAATGTATGGTAGAGATTGACGATTTTAACAAGGAGATGGTGGGTGAAGTCTGGGTCAGTAAGAGATTGTACAGCTGTCTTTGAATCCGAGCAAATCACTATTGTCTTCGTTGTATGGGTGTGTTGTTGAATGTGTTGTAACGCAAGAAAAACAGCAAATAATTCAGCCAAATATGCCGAGGTGCCGTCCGGTAAAATTAACGATATGGCTCGGTTCAACCACCACGCTTGACAGCAGCAAACATCTGCCTAGTTCCGGTAGTCAATGTGCCAATAGTGGCCAAACAATGGTCATACTGTCAACCGTTCTGTGGTAGGCATATCACTAATATCATTACCTAACATTAACAGTGCAGCGAAGTCATGGAGATGCACACAGTTCTCACCCGACGCACAATGCCACACACACAACAGCGCTCGTTGGCGCCACCTATTGGTGACCTACACGACTAGGTGTTGACCTCGTGCCGCTCCACTTCCTCTTTCGCCCGGATGGTTCAAAGCCCTCTACCTACTGTCCAGTACGGGAAAGCCATATCTTCCTTCGAGTAACTGTTGCAAGATCAGCTAGGGACGACAAAAACCTGTCGAACTTTGAAGTCTTATCTTCGATGCTAACTTTCGAGGCGTTTGCATGTATTTATATCTGGGATCTACTCAATTTGCCGCTTACTGCCGCCCGGTTTGTCATATGTAGCCTCTAGCCCTTTGCACCCAGAAATTGCGCGTCAAATGCGATCATTTTGTCTTCTTCATAGTTGGCTGTATGTAACCTCTGGCAATTACCCCAAATATGACGCGTGCCGAAGGCTGTTGCAGCCTCTTGACCTTTGATCGCAGTCGCGCACCTGCCCGCGCCCCTCACGTGATCTTGGTTGGAGCGTATGGAAACAGCCCCGTCATAGCTGCTCGGGCCACGTGACCCCTGGCGGCGGAACCCAGCGCACGTGGCTCACTCCGTCTCGGTTAGAGGTCAAACATACCGCGCTATGCTGAAAGAATGGAGGAAACGGTTACATTCCAGTGTGAGGAATATTTTAGAGGTCATCGCGAAGCCCACCCTGTTCTAGTAACAAGGCTTGGATGATGACAATCTCTATAATTTACAGCTGGTAAGTTGGCCGTTGTAGGAACAAATATGTCGCCCATGGACTCGACAGCGGTCGAGGAATTTTTCACCGCCAGATCGTTCAAGCTGAACACTGGTCATATGGGGGGGGGGGGGGGGGGGGGGCTAGCAGGGCCTTACACGACACCAGCGCTGTGAACGGCTGAAGCTCGACTGAACTCTTCGCAAGAGGGACAAACTTGTTAAATGACACACGATGCTCATGAGCGCTGCTACTAAAGGATACCAAACATGGGAAAAGAGGCGTGCAGATGGAGTACGTGAGAAATCGCCATGGAAATGAAATTGTAAAACAAAGCTGACATATTTCAAAATAAATACGCCTTTGGGTGATATCGCCAAGTGCTTGATTTTCAAATGTTGTGCCGCGCGTTCGCTGCACATTCCGGCCACCTCCAACGGGCCGCGCTATGTGGTCAGTGGAGGACATGAAGGGCGTGACAGGGACGCCACGCGGGGAACTGACCTTCGCGGACCCCGGCCTGCCGCAGCGTCAGCGTGGGCCAGGGAGAGCAGGGAGCAGGGGAGGCGGCAGGAGGGCTCCTGGTGCGACCCTCGCCCGACGGCCATCGACACCGCGACAGACGCAGGGAGAGGTGCAGCACCGAGCGAACCCTGAAGCGGACACTGAGCGGACACCGGCAGCGCCAAGCGGGCACCAGCAGCGCCGAGAGCACACCTGGAGCAGACAATGAGCGGAGACTGACAGCCCTAAGCGGACACCAGCAGCGCCGAGCGGACGCCAGCCTCGCCGAGAGGGCGCCTGAAGCAGACAATGAGCGGAGACTGACAGCCCTAAGCGGACACCAGCATCGCCGAGCGGACACCAACCTCACCGATAGGACACCCGAGGCAGACAATGAGCGGACACCAGCAGCGCCGAGCGGACACCGCCAGACCGTTGCGGCCAGCCGCCGGCGTCAGGCGGAGAGCCGACGGTCCGCACCAGTCCAGCGGGGGACCTGCGGTCGGCTCACACACACACGGCCCGCACCAGTCCGCACGGCCCGCACGGCACCAGTCCAGCGGAGGGACCTGCGGTCGGCTCACACACACACGGCCCGCACCAGTCCAGTGGAGGGACCTGCGGTCGGTTCACACACACACGGCCCGCACCAGTCCAGCGGAGGGACCTGCGGTCGGCTCACACACACACGGCCCGCACCAGTCCTTCTGCCTTCACTTGCTCGTGGACTGTTACATCCAGCACCGCACGAACACGAATGTTACGCAGCGTGGGCGACCTTTCAAGCCAACGGGAGCGACGCATCCCTGAACGCGGCCTGAGCACTGGTGTGCAGTAAGGTCCAGAGTCGGGGTGATCGGGTTCACCCTCACCCAAGAGTCCGGCCCGGTTTCTCAAGGAGTACCTGATACCTACGGTCAGAAGATGTGTAACGTGTCTTGTGCCTTGAAGATACACTTTCTTCTAGTCGCCTTTCAGCGTTTTGTATGATGCCGAGAAGAGATTAGGGAATGTGGATGACGTTTTTGCCCCGTAACCTCAGCACTGATCCCGGTGATCACGCTCATCCCGTGCCAAAACTCAATTCGTCGTTGTCGCCGTGTCCTCAATCGCTATGCTCTATACACCATCATGCGAATAATATGTTAAATATATGCACTGCAAAGCATGACTGACATGACAGTTGTAACGACGGCATCGCTCCGATAAACACACGGCGAATAGTCACTGGAATGCAACGCCCCTTCGCACTAGCACGCAGTTTGTTCAGCTCGATAAAACACGAGGGCAGGAATAGAGTCTGCAGGGACGCTCTGCAACCAGGCATCTCATATCTCCATCCATATCTAGTCCTGACCTGCTTCATTAATATTACACCGTCTCCTCTCTCTCACTGAATCGTTCTCCATTGCCCCTACCACTCATATCCCCCAGGTGACAAAACTAGCCTTCCTTATTGCCTCCCTCGTTTACTCAAGCACGATGGCACGCGGAAAGTTGGCACCATTCATTGCCTTCCAACCGTATTCACTCAATCTAACTCTCAGTCACGCCATTCACTACCTCGCTCGCGTATTCACTCGATCTTACTCTTACTCTCGCGTTTTCCCTCTCCCTCTCATTCTTCCGCATTCCACTCTCCCTGAATGACTTGCTGCCATAACAACAAACACCTATCGGCCCGGCGTGGCTTGATCACAGTCTCAGCGAATGCTTAGAGTCGGCGGGAGGGCGCTCCTGCACATCATCGGCAGAGACGCCCCCGCCCGGTCACCGGCGCGCGCACCAGCCCGGCCGCCGGCCCCACACTGCATCGGAGGGTTCCATCGGTGACGCAGACCGGAGCGCCACTGCAGCACAGAAACACCGGCAATACCATACAGCCGACTCAGCGGGTCCGGCCTACCGCACAAACGGGCCGAACCGACGTCGTGACGGCTCAGCCCAGCCACTCCGGCGGTTCCGCCTAGCCACTTCGACGGTTTCACCCGGCCAATCTGACCGTCCCGCCCAGCCACTGCCGCGGTTCCGTCCAGCCACTCTAGCGGTTCCGCCTAGCCACTTCGACGGTTTCACCCGATCACTCTGACGGTTCCGTCCAGCGCCACTCCGGCGGTTCCGCCCGGCCACTCCCGCGGTTCTGTCCAGCCACTACCGCGGTTCCGTCCAGCCACTCCAGCGGTTCCGCCTAGCCACTCCGACGGTTTCACCCGGGCACTCTGAAGGATCCGTCCAGCCACACCGGCAGTTCCGCCCAGCCACTCCAGCGGTTCCCTCCATCCACTCCGGCCGTTCCGTGTGACCACTCCAGCGATTCCGTCCCGCCACTCCGGCAGTTCCGCCCGGCCACTCCAGCGGTTCCCTCCATCCACTCCGGCCGTTCCGTGTGACCACTCCAGCAATTCCGCCCTGCCACTCCGGCGGTTCCCTAACGGTCTCGGCCGGCCGCCCTAGAAGACGGGCGAGCCGAGAATGAAGATTTGTCGCTCGTGGTCTTTGATCCAGCGCAGCAGCCGGTTCATCTCGGAGATGGACGTCTGTTGCGTGACGTGTGGCTCGAACACGGCGTACAGTTCAAAGCCAGGGCTCACCTGTGGGGCGGGCACAGACGGTCCGCTCAGCTGCTGCATTTCAGAAAAATGTTGTCTTTTAAGTCTACACGAATGCAGAACAATGAAACTATCGGCACTCTTGAACTTATTGCTCCGACCCACTATGCAGTAAAGCTACGGCCCAGGACATTGTCGTAGTGATGGCACCACTACCGTGCAAAGCCATCCACAGCGCCCATATTACAACAAAACGCTACAGACATAATGCGGCATGAGGACAAAAGGTTGGCAAACAGTACCCGTACAAATCAGAAGATAGCACTTTTTCGGTACTTACGCGTATAAAACAGCATTTTTCCAGTGGTCCTAACTATCCAGATGCTTTCAAAAAGCAGGACAGCACTTTACTTACTTCAGCCACGAACCAGGTTCACGGATTCAGCACGAGAAAGCCCTGGCGCAAGGGCTACTTCCAGCCGGGCGCCGCCCTCACTCACCCATCCGACCACCACCTCTCGGCTGCCGGCGAAGTAGTACGTCTTGAGCGGCCGCGCCGCCGCGTGGATGCGGCCGTGCACGATGTGATAGAGCGCGTACAGTCGGCGGCGGCCGGCCGCCGACGCGTACACGGCGCTCGGCGCCGGACACGTGCTCTGCGCTGTCGACTTGCACTTGTACATGAAGTGGCGCATGTCCAGCACGCCTGCGGCGAGGAGGCGGCTCGTCAGCGCGCCGACGGCACTGCGGGGAATTCGCTGTGGCCGCGCGTGCGACAATGGCGAGCATGTGAAGCAGGGTGACGTGACATGAAACAGAACGCGACAACCGGCGCGTGACAGCCCTACAGCCGGGCGTGACAGCAGGCAGGTAGCTGGGAGGATCCGGCTGTGGTGAGTGGCGAGTGTGGGCTCGATCCTCACGGACGCTTCCTTGCCGGTCTGGGAGGTACAGTGACGACGCGAGGCCGCGCCACAGAGATCGATGACGCGGCCCGTGACTGTTGGCAGGGACTGGGAGCCCTCAGCCTCCCACACTGAGTGTTCGCTCGACAACCGGCGTTGCGCACGATCCCTAGCCTCAATGGCACCCATACAGCCACAAAATGATCTTTAAGGGTGATAGCAAATATTTATATCGCACTTCGTCACATTCCTAAGAGAGAATTGTTACATTTAAATTCTGTAAATTGTTAGGTGCACTTGCGAGGAACATCATGCATATAGATAACGCAGTAGTAATAGCCTTATTCATCGTAAAAAAACAGAAGAATATAGATGCAGAAAACAGAAAACAGAGATATAGATGCGTTGATATCTCGGCAACATGCCCTTCTCGCAACGAATAACAGAAATAAATATGGATTGCCTGCCGATGATCCTACTCGATTTCATGTTCTTTTTTAACAGAGAGCCACAAGTTTTTGCAGGTCAGTAGCATTCAGGGGATTAAACAAGGAGCAATTGCCAGCCATTACTACAATAGTGCATATCTAACTAAGAATTATAACACGCGAAAAATACGTGTACATGCAAACGAACTCAAGTAAGCAGGCATCACGCATCACGCTTCATTCAAACATGCAAGCGATTTCAAGAAAACATGCATCACGTATCATGCATCAATCATACCTGCAAACGATTCCAGTTAAACAGGCCTTGGCCAAAACTTCCATTTCAAAGCCTAAGTGCCCGGGTGGCAACAGATGTCATTTATACAAGCCTGAGTTTCAAGGGGTTTGCACGCAAAAAGGTGGCGTACCAAATTAAGTGGAAACTATGCGAAAAACATGAGAGGGACATAGTCTATGTCGGGGAGACCATGCACCCCCTTCGTTTGAGAAATAATGACTACCTGTGAAACGCTAAAAACAAAACCGGGAATGCCTCTTTCGAAAACCTTTTTTGGCAAAACACTATCAGGCTGATATCCAGATAGGCATGGACTCTATGCCTCTTTTAGAACTCAAAAGTCGTCTACAGAGCACAAGACCATCTAGACAACACAATAAGTGAATTTGTTATTACAAAAGTCGGCGACCAGACCTTAGCGTATAAGGCTCATTATGACCGATTAAAAGTGCCTTGATGTGTGATGCGTGCTAACTTTAAACAGTTTACATGCATTAGTGATGCCTAACGCGTGATGCACGATGCATGTTTACTTGAAATCGCTTGCATATTTGAATGAAGCGTGGTGCGTGATGCCTGTTTACTTGAATGAATTTACATGTTCACATATTTTTTGCGTATTCCAATTCTTAGATACGCACTGTATCGCAGTAATAGCTGGCAATGACTCTTTTTTATCCCCTGAATGCTTCGACAGTAGTATTAGCCTTATTCCTCGCAGAAACAGGTGAACGGAGATATAGTTGGGTTGATGTTTCGGGTACATGCCTTTATTGCAACAATAGCAGAAGCTTTACAGAAACAATAGCTTCTGCTATTGTTTCGATAAAGGTATATTGCCCAAATATCAACCCAACTATATCCCCAATCTCCCGGTTTTTCTCCGGGGAATATGGCTAATACTGCTGTCTTATATATGTGAATAATGTTCCTGGCTAATGCACCGAACAAATCCCCTGAATGTTGGCGACCTGTAAAACTGTAGCTCGCTGTTTCAACAAAAAAAGAGAAGAAAAATTGAGTACGACCATCGGTGGGCCACTTTGAATATACAACTGCCATTCGTTTCCATAAGGGCATGTTGCCGACATACCAACGCATCTATCTCTCCGTTCCCCTGTTTTTTCTACGATGAATAAGGCTATTGCACTGTCTCATTTAAATTCTGGTTTGCCTCGAACCCTGCTACCACAACACAATCACAGCATCGCTCATTTAGAACCCATAAAGGACGGCGATCACAGATAACAACGCGACACATGCAGGACATTGCGTCACGTCAAGACCCTGCAGCAGGGCATCGGTGCAGCGTGGGCCGAGGCTGGTGGCCGGCCCCGAGGTGCAAGATGGATCGGTCCAAGCGACTAGGTCAAGGGACGAGCCTTGAGCATGTGCAGAGTGAGAGGTCTCGTCCATGGATGTCATGCGACGCGCAGTGCGATGGGGACTCGAATAGCCGTCAGCACCCAGACCTGTGCACAGAAGAAACAGCGCAGTGCCAGACGAACCACGCAGGCAGCTCGTTCGTGGTGAAAAATAGCATTACGTGAGATCATACCTGTCTCTTGGACGGAGTAGTCGCCGCTAGCTATGGAGATAGCTATCTGTTGCGCGGCACCGCACTGCTGCATTTTCTGAGGGGCAGTCAAAGTGCGCAGATTATTGACCATGACTATACAATTGGGGGGGGGGGGGGGCGTTCGCTCAGTCCACCGTCTGCCTGATTTTGCCCCCCGACGCAGGCCACTCGTGCTGGTCACGTTACGAACCGAAGGTCTTTACCGAACTGTGCAGGGAAAACATACGAACCGAAGGTCTTTACGAAATTGTTCAGGGAAAACATATCACCATAAAGCAGGCTTCCGTCATAGTCCGTTAGGATACGTTTAAACGCTGCGATCAGTTCCTTGCCATGCCACGCTACAAGTCCCACAGCATCGAGAGCTGTTGTGGGGCCGACCCCGCCGAGGCCGACCCTACCTCCCGAGCAGCACCGGCACCCCAGCCGGCACGAGCGCCCTCCAAGCCCCGCCCACGCGGTGATCGGAGGCGTGCGAGGACCGGGTGGGGCCCGACTGAGTGCTGTATGGCCAGATCAAATAAAACGAGGCGTCGGGCGCAGCCTGGCCGCGCATAACGCGACACCGGAGGGGGCCAAACCAGACCGAACGAGACGTCGCGTGCGGCCAGACCAAAACAGTCGGGGTTACGAAATACACCAAGGCCACAGAAAACATCCCCGCCCACACGCTCAAAAGTTTCCAGATGCCAACGCAGGTACCAAAGGGCAAGGGACGAAACCAAGTGGAGGGCCCAGGGTTCTGTTTTCTCCCCCCCCCCTGATACAAGATGTGTGGACGAGATTTTGAGTGATTTTGCGGAAATTTGGTAAAGTTCGCTGGGTTCTAGAGATAATCAGCATTATTTCCTCTCTGTCCACCGAGTCCACTTCTGCTACGTGCCTCCAAAGGACAATGCAATATAAGGAAACGTTTCTAATCGGTTGCTATGCAGGTAACAGTCCAGCTGTGGTTGTTCGTGTGCTGTTGGTGGAAAAGGCATGACGGACCAAACGTCTTTTATTCCCAAGTCATAGTTTATATTACTACCGCACTAACGGCTGATGCTAGGCGAGCGGTGATGTAAGCCTCCTACTAATCCAAATGCGACAACAAACGAAGAATTCCCGGAAGCTACATCGAAAGTGGGGCACCACGGGCACAAAAACACGGTCATTGGTCCCACCTCCCACAAAAACGAGGATTATGACCCAGCAGGGCCAAACCGGTTCAAACTAATACCGAAAGGCTCGGCCAGAACGACGACATTGCTGAGGCGGAAGCTCCGCCTGCACCGCGAGGAATTACCAACCGCGGCTTGGGGATCAGCGTCTGCTGACGCCTGTTGATGGGTGTGGGGGGACCCACGCCGTCGCATGATGCCGCTTATATCGGCCAGAACACTAGCTGTGCTGCTGACGCCCGTTGCTGGGTGTGGGGGACCCACGCCGTCGCATGATGCCGCTTATATCGGCCAGAACACTAGCTGTGCTGCTGACGCCTGTTGCTGGGTGTGGGGGACCCACGCCGTCGCGTGATGCCACTTATGTCGGCCAGAACACTAGTTGTGCTGCTGACGCCTGTTGCTGGGTGTGGGGGACCCACGCCGTCGCATGATGCCACTTATATCGGCCAGAACACCAGCTGTGCTGCTGACGCCTGTTGCTGGGTGTGGGGGACCCACGCCGTCGCATGATGCCACTTATATCGGCCAGAACACTAGCTGTGTCATGTTGCCACGCTTGAAGTCCTTTTACGCCTTGAAGTCATTTTAATTGAGTCAAGTTTCGGTCTCAAGGGGCTGTCTGTTGTGTAGAAGAGGGGAGCAGTACGCAGACTGGCGCCTGCCAGCTATGGCACAGATGTTCGGAAGGTGCGACAACCCGTCCCGCCGCGCGCAGCTGGGGCGTCGGTGGCATCCTGTCTGTAGAAACGAGCAAGAAACGAAGATTCTCGCCAGAGTTATGAACAGAAATGACGCGGCGATGCTCAGCTAGAGGCAAGTCAGCTCAGTTCTCTCACGACGTTCGATACGAGATCGAATACGGGTTTGCCAGGTTTGCCCCTCGTGCTGAAGTTACCGACCTTCGGAATGTGCGTAGGGTTTTCGACAGAGCCGTCCCAGGCAATGAAATGTACTGTCCTACGTGTAAGAGAAGCAGGTTGTGTACTGCATTAATGCATTTTGAGAAAGGTAATACCGTGAGCGGCTGTGTCCGACCATAAGTCTGGGGCAACCACGTGCAAAGTGAGCCATGCGAGCGCCCCGCAACAGTAATCGGTCAAAAACGACCCCAATGCCGTGAAATCGGGACAAGTAGTGCCCTGCACAAAAGTGAATTCGGATTGGAGAAGCATTGTGGTGCCTGCCAAACACCATCCAATTTCGGCTCTGCATTCACTTTCAGAGTTTACAGTAAGCCACATGCCCAGTGAGGAGAGGCAGCCCTCAATTGGGCAGACAGGGCACACGCATCTTCCCCGCCGAGCACCAAAATCTGCGCGTCATCGGCGTACTGAACGGCGTGGGCCTCAGGCGCAGAGCGGCGCAGGTCGTCGGCGAAAACGAACCAGAGGAATGGGCCCCAGGGCAGATCCCTGAAGAGCTCTGGCGTTGTTTCGCAGCGTACGAGGACCTCGCGGTGGAGACGCCCTGGGCACGGTTAGCGAGGCAAGAGCGGAATCATTCCGCGCGAGCTCCACGCAACCGCAATTTTGTCAAAAGCTTCAGCCAATCACTTGCATGACGATATTCACTAACGTCAAATGAACAGCAGATTGCGCTCCCGTCCCATCAGTCGATAACAGAATGCGGTAGGAAGCGGTGATCACGCAGCGCCGCCTCGGGCGGAAGCGGTGTTCAGGCAGCACCGTCTCAGCCGACCGACAAGGCCTAAAACCGGTCTGAGCATGAGCAGGAAGACTGCTCCAAGAGAAACACACATGGAGTTGGCGCAGGGCGATCCGCTCGGCAGCTTTGGCCGTGACGGAGACCGAGGGATGGGTCTGGATCCTGCAAGGTGTGAACAAAGACAGGCTTTGTGGACAGGATGGACAGTGAGGCGTCTCCAAGGACCTGGAGTTTTTTGTTTTTGTTTTTTGTTACAGCAGGTGCTCATGACGTTCAGCAGCGGCACATCAATCACGACGAAACACATCTTGTGAGTGGTTTGTCTACTCAGCGTGCCCCATGACCGGTGCGCGCCAGTCCCCCCCCCCCCCCCCTCGAGGCGTACTCTTGTGTTCAGTAGTGGCGGCGAACAAAGGCCACTGACCGTTCTGACAGTTTGGGTCGAGCCGGGGCGATCATCCAGAGCAGATGACAGACGCCCCAGAGCGGCCACGGTCAGTATTCATGTAAGACAAATAAGAGGCACAAGACCGCCACCAGAACGCCTACGTAAACAGAAAATCGGTCGTAACTGGGCGGCGTCATGTGAAGAGTAACGTATTACAGATACACGTACACGCCTGACGCTACAGGTACAGGCACTGTTACCCTGTTGTGGGACTAAAGCAGTAAAACGTCGTTTAGATTCCCTAAGCACGCGACATTGCAAATCTCCCACCCCACCACCAGCGCATCCCATCCTTTCCCTCCCGAGTACGCGGATGACTTCTTTCAAAAATTTCGGCAAACAGTCGGCAGCGCGTAACAGACGGACGATGGTTTGGTGCTTGGACTCCCGTCCGCGATATGTTAACTTTGCGTCCACCCAAAAACCTCCTTCTTCTACCCGCTGCGTCGTGTCATAACGGCTGCGAGCGTTGGGGCGCGCAGGGGGCGTGCTGCCGAAATCCTGCTAGCGCGAGGTCATTCGCCTCGGCGCGCGCTTGTGCGTAAGAACGCACCTGCGCTTGCGTGCGATATGCGGTAAGCCATGGGCTTCCTGTCAATCAACAAGTGTGCGCCGTGACAGTGCTGTCAGTACCCTTCAGGGCCTGAAACCCTGTCGAACCGGGAGCGGACCGGTCGCCGCGATCTCGTGCGCCAACAACAGCACGACACACACACGACCGATGTCCAGCTCGTATCAGCCCGCAGAAGGCCATGCCAGCGTCAGCAGCACCTCCTTTTGAAAGGCAATCAACAAGTCACCGGCGACCTTGAGCGCGCCGGCCGCCGCCGGGCCACTGACCTCGGCTATTTTCGTCTTGGCCCGCGAGAGGGCGTGAAAGCTCTCACGGTCGGCGGTCAGCAGTACCAGGCAGGCCGGGCAGTCGTCCGATATGTAACACACGTACGCGTACATAAACCCGCTGAAACAGACGCAAACACACGTCTCATGTGCGCCGCGGTTGTGTGAGGGAGAGCACACTGGGCGTGGTGGCAGAGGGCGGGAGTGCGCTCGTAACGCTATCGTCAGCGACGACAGATAAGCGTTACGCGCTGCAGAGGTAGCGTTCATCGGGAGGGAGACCGGTGCATTTACTAGAAGGCGGCAGCTCGAAAGGTGACAGATGGTTGCAAGTCTCAGGGGAGGTGGCAGTCACTCAGCGGCTTCAGGGCCAGTGACGGACAGTCAGCGGTCTCAGGGGCAGGTGACATACAGTCAGCGGCCTCGGGCGCACCTGCCAGTCAGCGGCCTAGGAACAGATGACAGAGCTAGCGGCCTCGGGAGCACGTGACAGACACTCAGCGGCCTCGGGGTAGGTGACAGACAGTCAACGGCCTCGGGGCAGGTGACATACAGTCAGCGGTCTCGGGCACACCTGCCAGAGGCCTAGGAACAGATGACAGAGCCAGCGGCCTCGGGAGCACGTGACAGACACTCAGCGGCCTCGGGGTAGGTGACAGGCAGTCAACGGCCTCGGGGCAGGTGACATACAGCCAGCGGCCTCGGGGACACGTGAGACATTCAGCGGCTTCGGGGACACATAACAGGCATTCAGAGGCCTCGAGGGCAGGTGACGGGGGTCTCAGGTCTCAGCCGGAGGGGGGGGGGGGGGGGGCAGTGAAGGTTCTCAGGTGCGGGTAACAAACAGTCCTCCGCTCTAGAGGTGGTTCACGGCCAGAAGGGGATTTTTACGAATAAAGACACCCGAATAGCTAAATGATTTCACAAAAGGTGACATCATGCAGAATGTATGCAAAAGGCGCCACTATACAAAGTAGTACGATTAATCCAGACGTAGTATTGAGTTTTAAGGCACGTTGGCTGCCAAGGCCATTATACAAACAAACTGGCGTTTTTTTCACATTAGAAATAAAAAAACGGTTATGTCGCCGCAGCATTATAGCTACATCAGCACGCTCTTCATAGCAGAGTGTTGAGCATGTCGGCAGGCAATGTAACTACATGTCATCTTGTCAAATGGTAAGTACGCGAGACGCACAAGAATGTGCAAACAAAAGCGCGTGTCCTTCCAGCGAAGTTTGCGATGAGTTGCCAGTTACGGCCACCTGCATCGATACAGCTGAAACCTAAGTCCCTCATGTTCTGCTGTTCGTGTCGACCTTTCGATCTTTGGACTGCGGCACTTTATGAGAGCGTGTTTCTCTTCGAACACGTCATAAAAACAAGATGGGTATGTTAATATTCGAAGGAGTCATTCCATGTATACCACCAATCTTCAGGCCGGCGAACGTGGCGAGCTCCCACTCCTAACAGCATTTCCCTGCTGAATGGAGAGCGAAGTCTTTACAAGGGACGGGCTGACTTCCTGTTATTCCAACACAAGAGCACCCGCTCCGTTCATGGTCACACCATCGCCGCGATCGCCCGGTTGCCGGGGCGGCAGCGGCCGGGCTCACACGCCTCGGCATACCACCGCAGCGGCTTACGCAATCGCCGCGCTGGACACGCGATGGGCGTGCGCCCGCGGCGGCCGCCGGCCCGAGTAAGGCCCGAGCGGACGCACCGCCCGGCTCGAGGGTCAACGGCACCGCCGCCCGAGCAGGCCCATCTGCATCCCGACGCGGCCGACGCTCGGCGGCCCGCGCTCGCAGCCTGTCATGCCGCCCTTCGGCCCGCTGTTCACCGGGTCACAGACGGCGGCCAATCCGCGCCGGCGCGCGCGGGGAGTGGCGCGACGGTGCGCTGTTCGTGTCATAACTGCGTGGGCGACGTGTCGAGACGCCAGTGGACGCAGCAGAGATATGCGCCATCAGATGATGGTCAGATTTGACATGAGCCGGGTCCGCGTTACTGCGTCTCGATGGAACGGTTCTCCAGCATGTCGCAGCACATGCGTCTTATCACGGATACGAGCGGAAGTCACTGCCACCTACTGGGAGCTTATCGAACAAAGGTCGCGCATTCAGAATAGAGTTCACAGCTACATCTGGGGAAAGTCGTCAGACCACCCGTGCCTTAGATAATCCTACTGTTGTATCAATCTGTCTGAAGCCCGTTTTCAAACCAGCTTTGATGTGAACGCATCTGCAAGTTCATTTAGTTAAATTACGCACAGCGATGTGACCATGTACTAGACGTCATTAATATAGCATGGGAAAGTACAAACAGCAGTATAATTTAACGGTCTGTGGGTCACGGCGTCCACTATTCCCATGTGAAATAATGATAATAAACAGTCAAACCTTGGAAACACAACAGTGATAATGGAGTAGGTCTGCCACATGAAGTTGCCGTGTTTCGTACGAATAAAACACCCAGTGCATTTTAAAAATTCGTGACCACGCGGAGCAAAAAGTAACCCAGATGCCAAAGGATCTACATTGGAAGAGTGGGTACCCATTCCTGGAGTACAGTTTGTTGTACTTAGTATGTCGGTTCGGCAATAAGCCCGGGAGACATGACTTCCACTCGCCCTAAATCCCACACAAAGTCACTCGCAACACCGACAACGCGGTCCCGCCTGCACTGCGCGGCAGCCGTTCGGGGCCCGCCCCTGCTGCTCACCTGGAGTCAAACTTGGGCAGACAGATGGGGATCCACCCCTCGACCGTCCTGAACGACTCGGTGGATGAGACGATATTGCAGACGATGTGGTAGTCGGTGGGATGGAGGTAGTGGGAACGGATGCGCACCAGGCCGATCAGGCGGTCGCCCGAGATGAGGAGCGCGAACACCAGATCCTGGCGAGTGCGAGCACCGCCCAACCGTCAGTGCATCGAGGGCGCAGCCCGACGCCGGCTCCCGAAGCAGCGTACAGGTGGCGGATGCCCCCGCCCGGACCGTGGGAACAGTCTCACAACGGGGGCCAGAAGATCTCACCAACAGCGGGAGGGGTGGTGAGTCTGCCATCACATCACAGCCCCGGTGGACTAGGACCCGCTGCTGTGTGTTCACGTTCTGGCCGGCCCGCTCCGGCCAGCGCCCCAGGAGCACAGGTGGCACGCGCAGCATCACAGCGATCTTGTTGTCACGGGACCTTGGTACAGATACCGCTCAGAACTTTCTATCTCCAATCGGGTTCCCCATTTGAATGCCGTCCAATGTGTAAAACTTATCCAGTTATCGCGACAAACAGCATGAGATACCCCAACATGAAGGACAACACCAGTTACACGCATCGACAAAATACCGAAGGACGTTATATGGGTGTGACGGCGAACGGTGCCGCGCGGTGCCCACCGTCACACCTTGATCTTGGCGCAGACGCTCTGTATGGCGGTGATGACTGCGTCGCGCGGGCCGGGCTCCAGCCGGAGGCATTGCACCGCGTGCAGCAGGTAGACGGCGCGCGCGTCCACCGCCTCGATCAGCTGGTCCAAGAAGCGCTCGGCGCCAGACACCAGCTTGCGGAAGTCAAAGTTGCGCCGCTGCTCGCTTATCCTCGTCAGCTGCGACTGGGTCACCACCGACAGGATCTGGCAGTACATGTGTCTGAAACGCGCCGGCGGAGCGGAGATGAGGGCTTGTCTAACGCCTCGGCAGGAGCCGTGCGGCGGTATGACCCCCAAAAGTCAGCGTTCACGTGTCAACTTGACGAGTGCAGCGCCATCTCGCTTGACAAAGGGCGGCAGCGGAATTTCGACAGCGTGGCGCCCACGACACCCGGACACCAGCAATACTCACGGAAGCTGCGCAGCCAGTTGAGAACAGCTCGACACTGAAGTCAGCACAGAACTCACCTACCCTGACGCAACACCCAGACCGCATGACGCCCACAACAACCACCAAACGTTTGAGACGACCAACACGGCGCAGCACTCCCAAGTGCTGGACAGCCGAGGCATGAACGAGCGCCCGACAGCGCTGCATTACTCACGACAGCTGTACGGTGAGCTGGGCCACGTTCTCCGGGCCGCGCGACACGGCCACGAGTATGAGTGGCGGCCGGCTGAGGAAGACAATCGTACGGTCGCCGGTGCGCAGCGCGCGTAACGAGTCGCCCGCGTCCTGGACGAACGAGACGAGCGCCTGCATCACGCCTGACAGCGTCACCAGCTGCTCCTCACTGCCGTGTCTGTTGGAGGGGAGCACAGCGTCACCAGCTGCTCCTCACTGCAGTGTCTGTTGGAGGGGAGCACAGCGTTATCAGATGCCCCTCAGTGCAGTGTCTGTTGGAGGGGAGCACAGCGTCACCAGTTGCTCCTAACTGCCGTGTCTGTTGGAGGGGAGCACAGCGTCACCAGCTGCTCCTCACTGCGGTGTCTGTTGGAGGGGAGCACAGCGTCACCAGCTGCTTCTCACTGCAGTGTCTGTTGGAGGGAAGCACAGCATCACCAGCTGCTTCTCACTGCTGTGTCTGTTGGAGGGAAGCACGGCATGAACAGCTTCCCCTCGCTGCCATGCCTATCAGAGGAGAGCACCAGCTGCTCCCCACTGCCATGTCTGTTGGAGGTGAGCACGGCGTCACCAGCTTCTCGTCACGCTATGGTTGGAGGGGAAGCACAGCATCACCAGCTGCTCCTCACTGCCGTGTCTGTTGGAGGGAAGCGCAGCATCACCAGCTGCTCCTCACTGCTGTGTCTGTTGGAGGGAAGCGCAGCGTCACCAGCTGCTCCTCACTGCAGTGTCTGTTGGAGGGGAGCACAGCGTCACCAGCTGCTTCTCACTGCAGTGTCTGTTGGAGGAAAGCACAGCATCACCAGCTGCTCCTCACTGCCGTGTCTGTTGGAGGGAAGCACGGCGTGAAGAGCCTCTCCTCGCTGCCGTGCCCATCAGAGGAGAGCACTAGCTGCTCCCCACTGCCGTATCTGTTGGAGGGGAGCACAACGTCACCAGCTGCTCCTGACTGCCATATATGTTGAAGGCAAGCACATGTCACCATCTGCCTCTAACTGAGGGGAGCATTAGTCTCCAGAAGCTGCTCATTGTCATGTCTGCCAAGGGGAAGCACAGAATCACCAGTTATTCCTCACTGCCGTATCTGTGGAAAGAAAGCCAGATCAGTACGCTCGCACAGAATTCCTGAGTGCCAGGACAAATGGTGACCCAAACTTTGATACCCTTACTATAAAACAAAGGAAAACGCCAAAGGAAACACATTTTGCCCAAAAGGAGGGAGCAAGGTATGCTGATAAGTGTTTACCATTTATATGACATAAATACTGTGATGTGTTGCATGTGCATGCTTTGGTGATTGTGCATGTGCCATTGGTGTCCATTCAGTATTGGCTTGCGTGGTGGTTGCTTGGTGCATGCGGTCGTGGACGCTCTCGTTGCTGCATGCTGCATGCCCTTACACCAGCTCCCAAGCCTGCATGCTGTGTATGGCTAGCTTCCCGCTAATGAGTCCTTTGCATGTGTTGCAGAATCAGTGTCTGGTTCGATGGTGCACTACTTCCTGAATGAACTACAGCTTGGCAGTTGTTGCAATATGTACTCCTATCAGTCAACTAAGCCTTTTTATAACCTTGCATACAGCTATATCTTCCGTTTACTCACACATGTTTCGCGCATAACAATTTATGACGATACTTCCTACAGTTACAAGAAGTGGATAGATTTTGCATGTGGTTTTCCATGATGTGCAAGCTAATGTAATGCCCAAAGGTGTACAAAATTGATGCAAATTGACAATAGAGGACACAAAATTTGTCCACACCTTTTACCTTAACAAGGCATGACAAAGAATAAGGAAGTGCCTCACGTCGTACCTTGAGAAAATGGGTTTCCCAGATTCACTGAGCACAAAGATGTGTTTCTGCTGGTTTCTCCACTCTGGTGTGGATGTGATGTCTTCGGTCCGGAGCTTCTCCAGATCAGTGCCCTCGTCGGACTCGGTCACGCTGGACTGAACCGAGGCCGTCTCCAGCTGGAGCCCGTTCAGGTTCAGTCGACCGTCCAGCTCCTGGCAAATGCCCCTAGTATTAGCCGAAACACTGTTGGCGCCACGCTATAGGTGGCAGCACCTGCAATAATGTGATGTTTCAATTGTCATCCAAACAGTACAGTTTGGCCAATCAGGACACTGATAGGACCGCGCTGTGACCCTGTTGGCCTGGTAGTGTATAATAACAGATGGCAGCTACCCTAACTGGCAAGACCTCGGGACAGGACCAAAAATAAAAACAAATTAGCTAAGATCAGCCTAGAGAACCAAACACACTACACCATATAACGCCAACCACCGAGCTGGCAGTGGTTCCTCAGCCGTACGGACGGCCACCGCACGAGCCAAGCAGCGGCCACGCACCTCCGAGTCGCCTGAGCGGCCGCTCTCGAGCAGCAGGTCGGAGTTGGCGCGCGCCGTGCACGGGTCGGCGGCGAGCAGGGCGCAGTACTCGTCCTGATCGGCCGTCACCAGCATCGAGTCGAGGAAGGCGCCCGGCTCGAGGCTGCGCGACACGTCCTCGGCGATCGGCACGCGGTCGCCATACTCGGGGCACGTCATGTAGCGCTGCTCGCAGCCGTCGGACGCCATCGTCGCCGGCGCCGCCACCGACGCCCGCTGCCGGACGGGGGTGAAGCTCAGCCGGGGTCGCGGTCACCCCAGCCACGGTGAGGCGCCTGGGATGTGGGGACTGCCGGACGGGGGTGAAGCTCAGCAGGGGTCGCGGTCGCCCCAGCCACGGCAAGGCTCGTGGCATGTGGGCACTTTCCAGGCAGTGCTGTCAGGTCAATGCTTGGGCAGTGTGAGGAGGAATACTGGCAGTGTTTGAAAGGTGGTGTGCAGAAAGAGGAGTAGGAGGGGGGGGGGGGGGGGGAGGCATGTGGAAGGGAGCATTGCACCTCAGAGATACAAAACCTTTTTAAGAACTAACCTGGCATTTAATCTCTCAGCTAAACTTACACTCATGGCCAGGATATGATTGACAGCAGTGATATATGATATGTAATGGCCTTTGCATAAGAACTGAGGCAGATAAAGGCAACTGGCTGATGGCCCTGGGTTTAGCAGCCTCTAGCATCTTGAAAATGAACTAACTGTTGCATTATTATGGAAAAATCATTGACCACTCACTTGGAAATTAACTAGCTGCAACAAATGCCAAATGACTGGCACTTATCAAACTGGATGCCATTGAATTCCTTTGCAACTTTTTTATTAATGAGTGTTGACCTTTTGCACCAATCACCAAACATCATGTACATTTAAGCATTCTGAGGTTCATTTTGTAAAGCTGCTTCAGTTTGGAGAATGAAACATGTGCATATACAATCAACATTTTGTGAAGTTTTCTGGATTTGGGAAATACCAAACCTATATTGTGAGCCCATCAGTGACAAATAACCAAACTAATTCACTGTGTGTGCCTGTGGCCATGGGATGCACTGCCTATAGCTGCAAGTTTTGTCATGTTGTGTGATCATGCTAAGAGTTGAGTGCATATGTGCAGCCCAATCAGAGTGTAATCAATCATGTCTGACTTACTTATCAAAACTTATACTAGGTAATACAATTAGATGCACTTGTTGAGCTGAGACTGTTAGCAGGGCCAATGCATATAGCTCTGTGAGAACTACACTTACTATACATTACTATACATTCATACATTCATACATTCAACATTCACATACATTCAACTATACATTCACTCTGTGAGAACTAGTTTAAAAGTCACAGCATGATAATATTTGGTCACTTGGATACCAAGAATGAGAATATTTGTGCATTTATTGCCTTCCTGGCTTGGGGCTAAGTGCAGTTGCTCCTCCCCATAGCCCAGGATTGGCCCATTAGTACTATTAATTTATCTTTATATTCATGATACTTATTTATACAAACCTTGGAGCTCTGAGGTGCCCAATGGGTAAAACATGAGAATAAGACTGTGAGTAGACATCAAGTCAATTGGGCTTTAGCATTCTGCAGCAATAAGTATATTTGCAAATGACAAACAACTAAAGACAATATAGATAAAACTTGGGAGCAGTAGTCCGCATACATCAGTCAGCACTTGCATTACCATCATTCATTGTGCAAATATGTCTTTCAACCATTAGCCAATAGATGCTACATATTATCATAAGAGTGTAGGTGTACTTTCCTACCTAATGTTAGAAAAAATCATTGCACACCATTCGTCGTGTTCAAGGCGGCACATATCGTAAATCATCTCAAAACAGGTAGAATCATGCTCCTACCTTCGAATTTCAATAACTTCGATGGCGAGCTCCCGAGCGCCGCGCGCACCGCACCGCCTGGACTCCCCAGCGCCGTTTCTGTGTTGCCGTTGCGTAAATACAATATTTCTGCTTACCAAGAACTCTACAAAATGTACGGGACAAAGGTAAACCATTCGTCGTGTTTAAGGCGGAACATATCGTAAATAATTTCAAAACAGATAGAATCATGCTCCTACCCTCGAATTTTAATAAATACGATAGCGAGCTCCCGAGCGCCGCACGCCCCGCACAGCACTGCCTCGACTTCCAAGCGCCGTTTCTACCTTGTTGCGAAAGCACAATATTTCTGCTTATCAAGAACCATAAAACATGCACGGGGCCAAGGTAACAATAATAAAGCAACCAAAATCGTTTCTTATCGAGTTTAGGTACATTTATGAAACACGCAGGCCAGAATAGTCCAGAACATATCCTAACCTAACCTAACCTAACCTAACCTAACCTAACCTAACCTAACCTAACCTAACCTAACCTAACCTAACCTAACCTAACCTAACCTAACCCAACCTAACGCAGTTAGGTTATGGTTGTCCTGCCTTAAACATGACGAATGGTTTACTTTGGTCCGTACATTTTGTACAGTTCTTGGACGCAGAAATATTGTATTTACGCAACGGCAACGCGGAAACGGCGCTGGGGAGTCCAGGCGGTGCGGTGCGCGTGGCGCTCGGGGGCACGCCATCAAAGTTATTGAAATTTGAAGGTAGGAGCATGATTCAACCTGTTTTGAGATTATTTACGATATGTCATGCCTTAAACACGACGAATGGTGTACAATGATTTTTTCTAACGTTAGGTAGGAAAGTACACCCTCACCGCACAAGTGGAAAGAAAGAGATTGAAAACTGCAACCCCAGTGTCTAGAATGCTACAGAAGCCTCAACCAGTACAGGCAAGCCAAAGCTTCCTCCAAGTTTGAGGTAATTCACAAACATTTTCTCTCCTAGCAGTAAACTTACAGCTAAAAAAACAACTTACAACTCAACACTCTAATGGGAGAGAGAGAGAGAGATAATGCTGGATGAGTACTGGAATAGTATCCATGTTCTTAGTTCACTGAGAAAATATACAGAAGCCAAAACTCAAAAATATATTTGATATATGAGAAAACATATCAAGAGACGAAATTAACCTTGGCTTGAAATAAAACTTGGTTGGCACTTACTGCATTCCTGCCTGAAAAGCATAACACATCAGGTTTAACTTAAAGGCAACGGAGCAGCCTCGACTTCTTACCCAGAAGCGACATTCATCCATACCTGTTTGGCTTCCCTGAAAACTCCTAACCGTTGCGGAAGCAAATCGGAATGCAATGTCCCATTCAAACGGCGACTCACAGGGCAGCCCCGCCGCGTCGCCACTCGCCCGTGGATTACAAGATCGCAGCGGATAATCGTACTGTCTTCGCAAAACATATGTCGCAAACGCGTTACAAACAAGAACGCCTTCTGGGGGGCTTTTTAATCATTCTCCAGTATGGGCAGCTTATTTCGAATAACTCACCATCCAGTTAGGTTATTTTGCGAATGTCCTTAAATAATCTAGAGACTTGTAGTATTTGGTATCAATCGCAATGATCTGGCAGCAATTGGTAGCTTCACCTGTCGCGCAAGCCTTGTGCGGGGCTGCAGCTATTAGTAAACGGGCGGTGACTGGGCGATTTTGGTGCGAGGGGTAGGGTGCGTACGTGAGAAGAGAGGACATTAAGGTACATGCTGGTTCAACGGCGGTCAGTGCCCAACAACTATGAAGCCCTCGTGAAGAAGGCGAATGATCGTCAAATTGCCGTCCAGATATAGTGTGGTGGATGGTGTTCACACCGCGACGTATGGTATGCTGTGATGTGTGTTGCGTGTTGGTGGGAGATTGGAAAGGCATGGTCATTCCCTGAAATGAAAATTATAGGACAATTAAACATGTTTTGCTCTGGGAGATGAAGCGAGTGGCACGTCATTTCTAAACGTGTTTGCTAGACTTACAAGAATAGGGGCAGGTTGTTGGGAGGTAATGTATCATTTGTTATATCTTAATAAACTCTGCATCATGCATTGACCAGAGGCATCCTTATTGCAAAATGACAACTGATACATATAGCTGGAGTGATGATTGGTGGTTTCCTAACACAATAAATTTTCCCTGCCACAGGAACCTCTATGGTTTGGGAATCTGTGTGGTCAACATCTGTGGTGTTGGTGCACCATATTGGTGTTGTGCTTCAAGATATTTCTACCAGCACAGTGTCTGTTCTGAACAGCACCCAGCCACTGGTGGCAGACGCCCTTCAGCACACTCTTGGCCTGCTGTGCTCCTGGCACCCAGCAGCCAACATCTCCTTGCCATCTGTAGGCCTGGTGGAGCTTGATGAATTCCAAACTAGTCTGCTGCTTGTGATCTGGGTATCCTTGCCACTAATGTGGTGCTAGTCTACCTGGCCTGGTCTCTGTACGGCGAGCGGATCGTGGAGCACTTCACTGGTACTGATAGTAAGTTATTGCAAGGGTGGTAATTGCTGCTAATGTTTTAGCAACTTTGTGGGCCTGATTGACTGACCATGCTGCAGTGGCCAGTTGGTGCTGTCTTGTATGTCAAAGTGCATATTCTGTGCTGGAAAACCATCTAAAAGACCACTTCACATTACCATTTTCATTGCAGCTGTGGATAAACTCCAGACCACTCCACTTTACTATTTTCATTCCAGCTGCAGACAAACTCCAGACCACTCCAAATTATCATTTTCATTCCAGCTGCTG